TCTGCTATTTAGAAAGGTATGGCCACTAAGGAGTTACTTTGGATCTCATAGCCTGGTTCTTGGAGTGGAAATATGGGCATCTTTTAATGCAAGAGGCTTGAATGAAGACTCAATGCCAGGCACATAGTAGGCTTATGTAACGTGTTGCTCTCCTCTCTATTTGATCAAGTTCTTCCTTTTTAATGTACAGAATGTTCCACATGCAGACCTTTAAAATGAGTACCCTTGCTACCCAGCAATCTTCTTCTGCCCAGAAATCCATTCTGGAGCAAAACCAAGAGTACAAGGCCAGTGACGCTAAGAAGAGGCCTGTCAAGTAATTTAAACTGTGAAAGAAGAGCCTGTTCCTAGAACACAGAGTGAAGGCACTTGTAAAGCCACAGGCCTGTGCACTGCCTTTTCCATTTCCCTCTCCTTCCTCCCTTCTGTGGAATCAGACTCAGCCCACAACTCACAGCCACTGGCTGTCATTTGTTTCAACAGCACTCCTGATTAATCCTTAGTGTGTTAGTGTGTGGCATTTATGGCATGTCTGTTGAAGGGCATTGATAACATACTTGTTTGTCAAATCAAAAAGACATGTATGTCTTTGTTCCTTCTGGGGTCTACCCCTTACAATGGAACAATGATAAAAAATAACAGTTTAAAAAATAACAGTTTTTTAATCATTGGAACCATTAAACTATCTTAAACATTAATATATAAGTCTATTGGAACAGTCTTCTGATGTTTGGTTTTCTACTAATCAAATAAGAATATAACATACTACACAATTCATGGATTTGTTCAGCATTTGTAGGAATGTTTGACTTCAAACAGATAGTTTGTATATGGACAAAAATGTTGCCAAATGTTTAAATGTTTAGCCCTGGATTTTATGTTCATACTTTCTGAAACCCAGAGCATCAGTATTTCTCAGTTACTTTGAGAGTCAGGCAATCATTTGAGAAAAAGTTGATAAGAGAAATTGTGCCCTTAAAATTTGCCTACAGTCAGCAAAGATAGGAATGATGTGCCAGACAATGAAATGTTGCTAACCAACCCTGGGTATTATTTTGTGTGTGTGTGTGCCAGTTCTGGGGCTTGAATTCAGGGCCTGGGCACTGTCCTTAGGCTTCTTCTGCTCAAGGCTAGAACTCTACCACTTGAGCCACAGTACCACTTCCAGCTTTTTTCTGTTTATATGGTATTGAGTAATCAAACCCAGGGCTTCATGCATGTTGGGCATGCACTCTACCACTAAGCCACATTCCCAGCCATGGGTATCATTCTGAAACTTGTAATTTAGTTTTGACCTCCTAACTTTTATCCAATTCTTGTGTTGGCATTTTTTCCTATTTTTCTAATATTTTTCTAGTGTCTTTTTATTTCTTTTCTTGTGCCTTTACTGAGACTTGAACTCAGAGCCTTGCATTGCTACTTAGGTTTTTTTTTGCCAAAGGCTGGTGCACTATGACTTTTTGGTGGCTAATTGGAGATAAGTCTCAAAAATTTCCCTGCCATAGCTGGCTTTAAACTAAAGCCTTTGTTTTAAATGCATTTAAACTATTCTGTAGGAGTCTAGACATTGAATTTTTAAGGGGGATAAATACACGGTACTTGGTGAATTTATGTTAAATCTCTTAACCAATTTGAGCCTTGATTAACTTATCTAAAAAATGGGAATAAGTAAGGTGCCGGTGGCTCATACCTGTAATCCTAGCTACTAGGAGACAGATCTGAGGCTCACGGTTCAAAGTCAGCCCAGGCAGAAAAGTCTGTGAGACTCTTATCTTCAATAAAGTACTAGAAAACTGGAAGTGGTGCTGTGGCTCAAGTGGTAGAGCGCTCACCTTGAGCTGAAAAGCTGAGGGACAGCGACCAGGCCCAGAGTTTAAGCCCCACGACCACCACCAAAAAAATCCCACTTTTCTTGCAGAGTGGTTGTGACAGGTGTTGATGATGCATACAGAATGTACCTACCTGGCTTTGGAGGCATGAAGCAATTGGTAGAGTTCCAGAACAAAAGCATCAAGTACTGAGTCCACATCCCTGTCTCAGACAAAATAAGAAAGAGGTGGGGGGCTGGGGAAGGAAGAGAGGGAGGGAGGAAGTGAAGAAAAGTATCTACCATGATAATATTGTTCTGATTCCTGTATATGTTTGGAAATTTCCAGAAGCTTTAGAGTCTTTCAAAGCCCTTTCAAAGCCCTTTCTCTCTAGGTTGTTACTAATTTATTTCAGGTCCCCATTGTACCTACCCTCAACAATACACTGTTCTCCTGACTTCCAATTTTGTCCCTTTAAGCCCCTTAATCCATTATAGACCAACCTGTCAAGGGTTATTTTTGTTTTGTTTTGTTTTGTCTTGTCCGTCGTGGGGCTTGAACTCTGGGCCTGGGCGCGGTGCCTGCACTCTTCAGCTCAAGACGAGCACTTGAGCCACAGCACCACTTGCAAGGGTTATTTTTTTAAGGGTTATTTTTAACTATCAATTTTCTTAGTCTTAGTTGAGTATTGGTGGCTTATGACTAATCCTACCTACTCAGGAGGCTGAGATCAGAGGATTGCGGTTCAAAGCTAATCTGCACAGACAGATCCAAGAAACTATCACCAGTTTACCAGCCAAAAGATACAACTGGAGGTGTGGCTTAAGTGGTAGAGCACTGGCCATGAGTAAAAAGCTACAGGAGAACACGAGGCCCTAAGTACAAACTCTAAGTACAGCAACAACAACAATGACAACAAAGTTCTCAATCTTTGCATACCTTCCCAACAGCATGAGAAAGAAAAAGTTATTGAACTATAGAAATACTTTCATTAGTATCTATTAGCTAATATCTATTAAATGGTAAGTACATTTCTCATTACTTAATCCCTAAATAACATTCTATGTATGTCTTATTACTTCCCATTTCTACGTGAGGAGACTAAGGGGAAGGGACTAAGTATGTACAAGTTTACCCAACTAGTACATGGCAGGGCTAGAATTCCAGCCCAAGATTTCATCAGAGAATAAACTCCAAGTTCTTTCATCAATTGGAGGAGCACTTCCTGATCTGCTGCCTGGCGTACCACTAGCCACCATTCTTGCATTTCCAGCCTTGAGTAAATTTTTTTTTTTCTCTAGAATCTCTCAGCTGCTCATCCAGCTCCTTAAATCCGTTATGTAGTTTCTCACCCTGTGGCTCCTCTGCCTCTTGTGGCTTGTCTCTCCCTCCCGTGTGCTCTGGCACACTGGTGTGCTTGACATGTTGATGCTCCACACCTGCTCTTTCTGTGGGTCATTTTCTAGGAAACAATCTTCCTGGTTTTGGCCTCAGAAGACCTTCTCAGACTGGCATCCTGGCTCTACCATTTATTAGCTTCTAGACATTCTGACCTGTGTGAACTTCCGTTGCTTCCTCTATAAACTGATCATAAAACTTGACGTCCAACTTCCTGAAGAGTGTAGGGTGACTCTGTGAATAATTGCTGCAGATAACAGGTGTCCCTTGAAAAATGTAGTTCTAGAGATAAGGAAGCACAAAATAAGCATGTCTTTGATTTTCTCTGCTCTTATTTTCCACATTTTGACTTTCCAGATACCTGTGTGATTTGATGGTATCATAACAAGTGATCTCATCGTTAACAATGAATGGTGAATGAATGGCACTGAGGCATGTTTCTGGGTGGGGTTTGGAGCCCAGACCCCTGTGGTCCTCTTCAGATGGCCACAAGTCAGTGGACAGTCCGCACTGTCCTCAGTGAGAATTAAATTCAGAAAACAGTGCTTGATTAAGCACTATGTCTAGCTAGGAGCTGGTGGCTTATATACACCTGTCATCTTAACTACTCGGGAGGCTGAGATCTGAGGATTACAGTTCCAAGCCATCCAGGACAGAAAAGCCCGTGAAACTCTTATCTTCAATTAACCACCAGAAAACTGCAAGTGGAGATGTGGCTCAAAGTGGTAGAATGCCAGCCTTGAACAGAAAAGCTCAAGGACAGTGTCCTTACCCTGATTTCAGGTCCATGACTAGAAAAAAAAAAGGAACTTTGTCTAAAATTAAATATATGGTGTATATTTACAGTCTCAGCATTTAATAGGCTGAGGTGAGAGGATTGTGAATTCAAGACCAGCATGGGCTATGTATCTGACTGAATCAGAAATGAATGAATGAATGAATGAATGACCAAACACATAAATACAAATAAACAAATAAATGAAGGTCTTTGGTTAGTTAGATCAAGTGATAGCCCGTAAAGTTTCAGGAAATGCTTTCTTTAAAATAAAAAAAAGGAAATGCTTTCTGAAATCATTTATACTAGGAAATACTGCCAAGGAATTCTGGGCCTAGTTTTTCAAATGTTGTACAACTTTGCTTGTCTTCTCCTGTCCCCTTTAAGACACATCACGCTGACACCTTGCTCCTATATCCCAGGCTTGGTGTAGCTGAGGTTGCTATAGCAACAGCACACAAGGAGTAACATTCCCCTGTAACTACAGTGACTGGGACATGAGTCAGTTGACAAGTTTCACAGGGTTTTTATTAGTGTATGATGCAGTCCCATGTCATCTACAGTTCTTGGCCGGTCCAAGTTTTACATGTGGTGATGCAGAACACTTGATGCTAATCACCTTCAAGGGTTAGATGGCCCAGGGTCCCCTAACAGAAGCCACAGCAGCTGGTCTCCTCCACAGTACCCTTGACTAGTATAGACTAGTATCTATAGTAAGAGGCTAAGAGTAAACTTGGAGCCCTAGTGCATATCCCGATGTGTCTGTAAACAGCAGCAGTGCCATTGGTTGATGATTGAAGATTTCCTCTTTTTTAAACAGGGAGCCGGATACTGATTAATATCCTAGAAGACATATTTTTAAGCCAGTAGCTGGAAAGAACACTGGCTGAAGAATAAGGATAGAATTATTGTCATTCTTATGGGGATTGGTGAAAGTGGAACTTACCATTGAATGTTGATGAAAAGTGGCAATAAGAGTTATTGACAACTTCTAACACTGGACTTGGTTTGTTTTTCAGACATGGAGATGACTTGATTGTGACTCCGTTTGCTCAGGTAAGCACACTTGGTGAGTGGGCCGGCGTCTCACAGATTTGGAAATTTGATTGAGGATTTTCATTCTGGTTTTTACTTTAATGTGAAACCAAATACAAGTGTCAATGCAAAGTTTTGTGGTCCATTCAAGTAATTGAAAGGTATTGTGAGAGAATGAAACCTTGTCCCTATCTTTATGTTTTCTGTAAACCCAGAGACCCAAAGAGTATCTTTGCTTCAAACAACAAATTGCCTGAGTGGTAGAGTACTTCAGTGAGCCCATATCTCCTTAACTGGTAAAGCACTAGAAGCATGTATCATGATTAAATTACAAGTAAATTAAATTACATGAGTAGGTACATGATCAGTGCTTGAAATTCAGTATTCCAATTCAATCTGATACCTTATTTACTGCTTTTTAGATGTGTCATTTGTGCAAAGACTTAGCTAAGTGATGTAGTTTAGATCATTCCTTTTGGGAATACAAAAATAAAACCACCTTCACCTTGTGATATAGATACAAGGTGATAAAATGATCTAAAATGTTGTTGTATATTCATGAAAAGGTTAATGATCCAATATTCTTTGTGTAAAATAGTGCTTCTTAAACCCGACTACAAGTGAGCCACATGTATTCTTTATCCCAGTGTCCATACTGCACCTCTGGCCAATTAAATCTAAAATTCTGGGGGCTATGGTGGAGTTATGTATAGATGAACGTGCTATTTTAGCTCTAAGATGCCATCATCTTAGAGTAATAGTAGTATCTAGATATTGAAATTATATTTAGTTCTTCTACCTTTTAAATATTTCTGAAATTTTATTAGGGCTATTATTTGGGTAAGAAGTTTAAACAATCTATAGGCTACCTAATGTGTAAGAGGGGTTAAAATATGAGTTGCAGGCAGAGCACTGCTTAGTATATGGGAAGCTGTGAGCTCTATCCCCAGTACTTAAACAAAATTGAATATGATCACTCTATTCTTTCAGGTGGTTAATGTGTGTGCATATACATATCATATTATATATATATATATATATATTGCTTAAGAGTTTTCTGAAGGCTATTAAATCTTTTTAGTATTTATATTTTTATATCCAAAAGGTTTGCCTATTTAATCATATTGTCTCTAGGCAAAATTTTATAAAATAGACTTTCTAATTGATTGCTATTGAGAACTTAAAGTATCTAAGAGCTGTAAGCTAGGTGAACAGTTATAAAACAGTATAGCACACTCATTTAGAATCAGTTATTCTAATTTGAGCTTATTCAGGTGACTACTGTTATTTTTAACTAAAGTCTCTTAAGTATTATTATTGTTTAACAAACAATATCCAAATATGTGACTAAAATAAAAAGGCTTTATGCATTGTACTTTATATTCTAGGGATAATATTCAAGTGACACTTATCTCCAGATAGTATACCAACCTTAGCTTGATACTTGCCATCAGTGCTTTTATGTTCTAAAGAAATCTAATGTTTATTACATAATGGAACAACTGTAAGGTACCTATAATCACCAAAAAACAAATTGAGTCTCATTATACTAGGATGTTTATGTGGTTTTTATATGTAAAATGTCATTTAGTCTATGTTAGTATTTTATATATTTATTGATTAATTAACTGATTGATTGTGTAGTATTGGGGATTGAACCAAGGGCTTTATACATTTCAGATACGTACTCCATGTCGTAAGCTATGTTCCTCTAACCCTAACGAACTATTGGAATAAAAAAGACATGGGATGAGACTCTTGAAATTGATGCTTTAAATAAATAACAACTCTGTGCAATATAGTCCTACCTGATACACAAAATGTTTCTTAGGTGAATTTAGAAGGTTTCATTACAACTAGCTAAGCTACTAACTTACATTGCAGAAGCTGCTTGTTGGTTCAGAGAGTACAGATTCCTTTCCACAAGTAGACTTCTCCTGGAAAACAAGATCTAAAAAGTACCACCAATACATATATTAAATCTCCACACCATTAGAATGTCTTTGGAAAAGTAGGGGAGACCAAAGGCCCAGTTTATCAGTTTAACAGCTTCGGTTTACGAGTGGCCTTCTGCTAAGTCCTGTTGACCTAAGTAATAACTCCTCAAAGATATGTTTGTCCACCTGTAATTGTAGCTACTCAGGAAGCTGAGATCTGAGGATTGTGGTTCAAAACCAATACAGGCAGAAAAGTTTATCCATGAGGCTTTTGTCTTCACATAGCCAACAAATGCTAGAAGTGGAGCTGTGGCTCAGTGGTACGATGTCAAACTACCAAGTGAGAGTGTAAGGCCCTGGTTCAAGCCCAGTTAAAAAAAAAACAAAAACAAACAAAAAACCAACCCCAAACCAAAAACGTCTGCTTAAGTGTCTTTTATGTGCATTATTCCCTTCTTATGACTCCTATAATTAATTAACCCTCACTGTCTTCAGTGGTCAAAAACCTCTCCCAAGCCCATGTCTCTGTCATCTTCCCTATTTCTTTATGCCTGAGTACTGCTCCAAAATATGAAAGGAACCTTTATGTTCTTTGCAAAGCATGCTTTTCTGCAAAGCAAAGAGAATAAAATCCTCAGTTATCAGAGAATTTAGGAAGTCATACAAAGATTTATTCCCCTTTGTTGAGTGGGGTTGAAACCTAAACTATCTTCGACAGACTCAGTTTTCAGAAAGAATCATACTGTATCTCTATCATTCTAATGGCCAAAAATTGTCAGAGTTAGGGCTGGGAATGTGGCTTAGTGGTGGAGTGCTTGCCTAGCTCTGGATTTGATTCCCCAGTACCACATACACAGAAAAAGCCAGAAGTGGTGCTGTGGCTCAAGTGGTAGAGTAGAAGCTCAGGGACAGTGCCCAGGCCCTGAGTTCGAGCCCCAGGACTGGCAAAAAAAAAATGTCAGAGTTAGATTCTTGCTACTGCTGTTTAACTTCTTTCCCATTTCCAATTTCCTACCCTTTCCCATATAAGTTCAAAATCCCTTTAATCCCTGTGAAAACATGTCATCTTTAAGTAGCTTGTTCATTTAGAAATATTCTGCAGTGTTTTGGTATGAGTTCTTCCTTAGGCATCAAGGCTGGGTGTTGAGGGGAACACAGAACACCTCAGGCCCCTCTGACCCTGCCTGAATTTCCTCCCTGTGAGCAGACAATGAAGCCAGCATCCTTAGGGACCAAAATGACCCACAACATTGAGTCACATACCAGAGGACCCTTCTCCATCATCAGCTGCCTCTGGTCCAATAGTCTTTCTATTTGAGATTTGTCCACTTTGCAAAGCCCTGTAGCCTCTCTTCTCATCTGGAAGCATACTATGCAATAAAAGGCAAAACGTTTGATGAAGTGAAAGACCCAAATACTGGGTCTCTCACACGATTCAGACTAAGGCTATGTGTGTATGTTTGATTTTAAAATACCAGGTAGGAACAACCACTTGGTTTTATCTTTACTGTAGCCAAAATGCATCATCTGAATACTTTTAGAAAAAAAAATGTAGCAGCTGTGTTAGCATTGTAGAACATTCTCATTCAGTTGGTAGTAGAAGTTAACCATGCTTGAAATCAAGGCGTGAGAGTTGTCTCTGAGCTTCTCTGTGCTCACTCTAGCACTCTACCAATTGAGCCAAAGCTCCACTTCTGGCCTTTTCTAAGTAGTTTATTGGAGATAAGAGCCTTTTCTGTCTGGGTTGGCTTCAAACTAGGTTGGCTTCAAACTGGGTTCACTTCAAACCATGATCCTCAGATCTCAGCCTTCTGAGTAGTTAGTATTACAGGTATGACTTTCTGGTGCCCAGAGCCAGTATTTTCTAATTCTTCCACACCTTTCCCATTTTACCCAGCAGCACCAATCAGGTGAATTCCATCACCCACGGTTGCTGAAACCACTATCAGGCAATGGATCAAGATGGTCATCTCATTTCAGTTGCTCTAATGTAAATCACAATCAAGATCCTTCTAGACATCTAAGTTCTTGTTAGGTGAAACCATGTGAAACTGCCAGTAACTGAAAAGGCAGAGAAAACAGCCAAAACATAACTTGGGAAGGGATTTGCTTTTCAACCAAAATTACTTTTTTTTTTCCTTCTGTCAGTCGTGGGATGTGAACTCAGAGTCTGGGGACTGTGTCCCTTAGCTTTTTGCTCAAGGCTAGCACTCTACCACTTCCAGCCACTGCAGCACTAATAGTTTTCAGGTGGTTAATTGGACATAAGAGCCTCATGGACTTTACTGCCCAGAAGGGCATCAAACCGCAATCCTCAGATCTCAGCCTCCCGAGCAGCTAGGATGACAGGTATGAGTAACTGGGGTCCTGCCAAAATTACCTTTTTATATTGTAAATAATCCTCCCTGCCCTTTTTCATTCAGGAGTGAGACATTCCTTGAGCACCAACCCTACAATGCATGGTCCAGTGTGTTACTGCCACCTGGTGGGATAAAGTGTGTACAAACTGAAAAATAACTCAAGTCTATTGTGTTCAGTTGTTTAACTGTTTAATGAAGCCCTTTTTTTCCTACCAAGTTCAATGCATCCTATTTGATTAAAGAAATGTTTAAAAGGGCTGGGAAGGTGGCTCAGTGGTAGAGCGCTTGCCTTGCATGCCTGCGGCCCTGAGTTCGATTCCTCAGCACCACATAAGCAAAAAAAAAAGCCGGAAGTGGAGCTGTGGCTCAAGTGGTGGAGCGCTAGCCTTGAGCTGAAGAGCTGAAGGACAGCGCCCAGGCCCAGAGTTCAGGCCCCACAACTGGACCTCAAAAAAAAAAAAAAAAAAAAAAAAGAAATGTTTAAAAGCATCTAAGAAACATTAAAAACAGTGTGTATAAATAACATCCCGACCCATGAACTAGAATTTGTATCATTTCTGCTCTTAAATAGGACGACTAGTATTTACTATGCTTAGTTATTTCACTTTATTTGTGAGACATTTTTTGGACTTTAACCAGCTACGTTTTACTTGGAAGGGAAAAGGAGAAAGCAGTGACCTTAGTTTTCTACTACTGAGCTGTAAGTCATTGACAGGAAAGAAACATATAGTTCCAGCAGAATTATTGGATGGCTGAACGCAGGGGAATGAGAGCTACCCTAGAACATTGCAAAGAACAGGGGAACCCAACTCACGAACTTCTGTAACCTGCTTCCATTTCCCTCTCACAGCCAATAGCAATTGTTTGTCTCTGTTGAATCCTTCAAGGTAAAAGAGAGTTTTAAAAACAATGCTTAACTGGGCACCAATGGCTCACACCTGTAATCCTAGCTACTCAGGAGGCTGAAATCTGAGGGTCACGGTTCAAAGCCCAGGCAGGAAAGTCCATGAAACCCTTATCTCCAATAAACCACTAGAAAACCAGAAGTGGCGCTGTGGCTCAAGTGGTAGAGTGCTCACCTTGAGCTGAAGAGCTGAGGGATAGTACCCAAGCCCAGAGTTCAAGCCCCATGACTGACAAAAAAACGAAAACAAAGCAACAACAACAAAAAAAACAATCAATGCTTGTAAATCAGGATCCAGTGGCTCATTCATACAATCCTAGCTACACAGGCAGCTGAGATCTGAGGTGGATCAAAGCCAGCCCACACAAGAAAGTTCCTGAGACTCTTATCTCCAATTAACTACCAAAAAGCTAGAAGTAGAACTGTGGTTCAAATAGTAGAACACTAGCTTTGAGGACAAAAGCTCTGTGACTGGTACATCCCCCCCCACCAAACAAACAAACAAAACCCCACCAAAAAACACAATCTTTGTGATAAAAATCACTAGAGTTAGTCAGCCAGGCCTAGGATTAGATTTGTCTAGAATTTTTATTTTTTTTATTTTTTGGTAGTGGGGCTTGACTCTGGGCCTGGGCACTGTCCCTCAGCTGTTCAGCTCAAGGCTAGCATTCTACTACTGAGCCACAGCGCCACTTCTGGTTTTCTGGTGGTTTATTGGAGATGAGTCTCATGGACTTTCCTGCCTGGGATGGCTTTGAACCAATCCTCAGATCTCGGCTTCTTTAGTTGCTAGGATTACAGACAGGCGTGAGCCACCAGTGCCTGGCCAGATTTGTCTAGAATTTTTATTTATACTTTTACAAGTATCATATATGACATAGTGCAGAAGATACTGGCAAACACACTGAAACATTTATAAAATACAGTTTGTCCTACCACCCTCTGTCTCTGTGTCTATCTCTCTGTCTGTCTGTCTGTCTGTCTGTCTGTCTGTCTGTCTCTCTCTCTCTCTCTCTCTCTCTTTTACACACACACACAGCAATGATCTAAGACTTGCACATACAGGAAATGATTTGACTTACAGATTACATACTATGACACTGTTTGTAAAAGCAAACTTTAAGAGACACCCTAGAATAAAACAGTAAATAAAAATAGCAATCGCTTGATTTCTGATTTTGTCTTAATTAACTATTTTGCTTCATAGACATTTTCCTTACACAGTAGCATAAAATTACAAACTGTTCAAAATTAATACCAAAAGTTGAACTGAAACCAAAAACTATCCAGTTGTAATTTCATTATTATTTTAACAGAGGCAAAAACTCCACAGAAGATATTTCATTGGTGAACTAATACTTCCTTTCAAATGAGCACCAACATGAGTTTTCTGCATACTATTTTTTACCGAACATGAATTATTACAATATTTTTTCTATTTATCCAGCGATTACAGCTTCAGAACTCTGAGGTTAAAACTTTTGTCTAAAAAGGATCAATTATCTTTCATGCATGTGTTTCTAACGCATTTATAAGATTATTTCTTGGTTGCTTTGTATGTCCCTCCCCCACAGTGTAACCCCTGCTTTCACTATATTTGATGTCAGTATAACATGTGGAGGAGATGGGGACAAACAAGTCGTTTAAGGATTCAGGTGGACCGTTGCAATAATGAGAAGTACAAAATGTCATGTCAAAACCAGCTTTACAATGTCGGAGGGGGGGGGGAGGGGGGGTATGATTGGGTGGGGGGGAGGGGGGAAGGATTGGGTGGGGGGGAGGGGGGAGGCTGGGAAGGGAGGTGAAGGGTAAACAAAGGAGGAGGCTGCAATGCTTGGTAAGAAATGTATGTATTATCCTGACCATGTAATTGTAACCCCTCTGTACAGTATGTTCTCAAATAAAATAAAATAAAATTAAAAAAAAAAAAAACTTACTAATAAAAAAACTAGAAAGAAAACTAAAAAAAAAAAAAAAAAGGATCAATTAGCTGATGCAATAAGCTCATTTAAAATGATTTTTTTAGTGTACTTGAGGTTCACTTCTGAAAAGATAAATCAAGCTGCATGCTTTAATGACAGCAGGTCATTTATCCAACTTATTTCTGCATCATTCATAATTTTATGCCTAATGAAAGGCGGCGTGATCTGACGTCAGCAGTAAGCTATTTGGATACTTCGTCATAGGCACTGCGACCTTTCTGAACTGTGAGTTCTTTGTATGCAATAATGAGCCAGGTTTTTCCACTGACGACTTAGGAAGCACCGTTAACTCCTTCAGGGAAAATGCTGTTTCTGTCCCAGAACATGAACAGCTCCCTTTGCCTTATAACATAAAAAAAATACTAAATAGTGTTCAGAAACATTTTTGTCTCAGAAAATAAAAAGGGTACCAGATTAGAAACCGAAAAGCAATCAGCAATTTGAAATCCTCTTTGTATTACCATTACTAGGCAGTAAGCGAGGTCCTTACATGCCAAACTAAGCATCAAATACAATGTTGCTGGAAGGAGCTTCTGGTCACCAAATGACTTCCCCCTTGCTAGGCACCATCCTTGGTTCCTAATCCATTATTTCCTACATTCACAACAGTACTGAAGTGAATAAATAGTGTTGTCCCAGTTTTACACTTGAAGAAACTAAGGTACAGACCTTGTTTAAGGTCACATGTAAGAAGGTTCTAAGTGTCAGAGTCTGGCGGTCTTACTTGTTGTAGAGCACCATATAGTACCTACCACAACAGTTGTACCCTATCTTTTAGACTAGCACTTAATGTGGTAGTTGCAATCCTGCCTAGTACGGCTTCCACTCTAGGTAAACTTAACCACTCTAAGAGAAAGTAAGGGGTGGTAGCTTCTTATAACTTTTTTGCCCTACAGTCACTTCTATTCTTTGGTCACCTTCTAGTTGTAATTGGAAGGAAGGGACTGACTGTCAGGGGTTCAGAGGTGGCAACTTGTATTTCCAGCCTTGTCACATGGGTAGCTGGCTTGCATGTATGTATTCATTTATTCGGTACATTTTTATTAAGCCCTATGTCTTGGATAGCAGTAGCATTTTACCTGAGAATGCCTCTGGGAGGACTTCTTGTAATCTCCTTACTACATAACCTTAACCTAGGAAAACAATGACTGAGTTAGCCAGAGGAAGCATCTGGCCAAGGTGAAAAGAACAACTTCAGACTTACTTAGCTCGCTGACTTGAAATAATGGGATTCTTGGTGAAATTTCTTTTTAAGAGATTCAGAGGTGGTTTTCTTTTTTGGGGTCTCGAAGCTAAGACTTTGTTGACATTTTATAGTATGATATTTCATATTTGTATAAAATGCAAGTAATTGTGTTACATATAGATTGTCTAATTGGTGAATGAGACTGTTGCTGTGCTACTTGCTATATCCTTAGTGAGATGGATTTCTGGAACACTCTTGCAGTGTGACCTTCTAGATTTTGTATAGATGCTGAAACATTTTATTGCATTGGGAGATTCTTTATTCTGTAGGAAACTAAGTTACGAGAAATACTGTGTTTTCCCTTAAACTGCTTTTAATTGCCTTTAAAAGGATTCTAGCTCAAGAAATCTAAAGAATTCTTTTTTTTTTTTTTCTCTCATAGGTCTTGGCCAGCCTGAGGACTGTACGGAACAACTTTGCTGCATTAACTAATTTGCAAGATCGAGCACCTAATAAGTAAGTTATCATCTTCCTCCTCCTCCCTCCATTTTTTTCTGGCCCTGGGCTTGAATTTAGGGCCTGGGTACTGTCCCTGAACCAATTTTTGCTCAAGGCTGGTGTTCTACCACTTGAGCCACGGTGCCACTTCCAGCTTTTTCTGTGATTAACTGGAGATAAGAGGCTCACAGGGACTTTGCTGCCCGGGTTGGCTTCAAACTGCGATCCCCACATCTCAGCCTCCTGAGTAGCGAGGATTATAGGTGTGAGCCACTGGCTCTTGGTTTCCTCCTCCCTTTTAAGTTGTCATCAATTTGAATTGAACTTGGGGTAATCTATTAGACTTCCTTGGGTTGCTCTCACATACCTAGTCACATACACCACGTCAGATGAGGTCCTGTTAATTTTCTATAAATACTCTGTAGCGATAGTGTTAATAATAACACTGTGACAAATAAATATGGTGATTCCATCTGTTAGAAATCACCTGGCCCTCTACCCAGTTGCTTACACTTAGTTTTAGCTAACCTCATAAGTTAACCACTGACAAATGGTTTCGTGAACCCTTGAAGTGGATTCATGTTCATCCTAGTCATTTTAACACACAGTTAATTGGAAAAACACCCACCATATCATGGCACAAATCTCTGTTTCTCTTGCTGTTACTGACTATCAGATCATCAGCTGGAAAAGAGTTACACTGGAAATCTTTGAAAGAAGAAAAGTTGAAATGAAAAGTGATTATAAATTTGAGTTTTTGTCTGTACCAGTACTGGGGCTTGAACTCAAGGCCTGGATGCTATACTTACTTAGCTTTTTTTCCCCTCAAGATAGGAACACTACTATTTGAGCCATTGCTTCACTGCAGGGTTTTGTTTTTTTGTTTTTTGTTTTGGTGGGTAAGAGTCTCATGGACTTTCCTGCTTTGAACCTCAATCCCTAGATATCTGCTTCATGAGTAGGTAGGAATACAGATATGAGTCGTAGGTCCCTGGATAATTTTAGGGGTTTGATGAAGATAAGAATCTAAAAAGTGAAAGCTAAGTTTGCAAGATTAAAACAGAAACTGATAAGCTATTTTTGAATAGTTATTACTTAAAAACCATACTAATAATAATCACCAAAACTCTTTCCTTTTTTCTTTCTTTCTTTTGGTCATGGGGCTTGAACTCTGGGCCTGGGCACTGTCCCTGAGCTTTATTTGCTCAAGGTTAGTGTTCTACCAGTATGAGATACAGATACACTTCCAGGAATTTTTTTGTTGCTGGTGATGGTAAATTGTAGAGAAGAGTCTCACAGACTTTCCTACTTGGGTTGACTTCAAACCAGGATCCTTAGATCTCAGCCCCCTGAGTAGTAGGATTATAGGCATGAGCCATCAGCATCTGGCTGCTTTCTTTCTTTCTTTCTTTCTCTTTCTTTCTTTCTTTCTTTCTTTCTTCCTTTCTTTCTTTCTTTCTTTCTTTCTTTCTTTCTTTCTTTCTTTCTTTCTTTCTCTCTCTTTCTTTCTCTCTCTCTCTCTTTCTTTCTTTCTTCCTTTTTTACTTTCTTTCTGAAGAAAGTCAGTGAATAATAACTTATTGGGATTTACTGTAAATCTAAGCATGTAAAATTTTACAGCATTATTACTTCTGAAAAAATAGAAAAATCTGGACTTTCTAGTCCATATTAGTGTAATTTAGCTCTCAAATGTACATTTCTACTGTTTAGGAAATCTGTAGCCATTGTGTAAGTACTTCCTGTGATAAAGAAGGCATACATACATATACATACATATATATAGTATTATATGTATATATATATATATATATATATCAATGTAGTTCCACAATACAAATAAGTAGAATGAAATCTAGTACCTATCATAGTGCAGAGAAACTTCCTTGAAAATGCTTATTGGCTGAAAAAGGAAAATGGTAATTCAGCATGTAAGTCCTGAGGGTGTCCTTTGAGGACCCTGTTTATTGTGGCTGTACTTTATGATGCAGAACTCAGTGGTCCTTGGGGCTTTGGGCATTCCATAACTTGTAGGAACAGTTACCTCACATTTGGAAAGTCCCAGCTCTGCAGGAGAAATGAAACTATTGGTTGTCACTCTCCAATGTTTTAGTCTCAAATTTCATCTAGAGAAATCAACGTCTTCTCTTCAAAAGGCAAACTAGAGACTTAAAAAAAAAAATGTTTCCTTCATGTATCAGTACCTGGGTTCTAGCATTTACATCTGCAGAGCCAGAGAGATGATCAGAGAGATGTGAAGAAATCACACTGGCCTTCTGACTCTGGATCAGACTATAACTGCTAGGTATTTACAACACCCTTAAATCATTTCTAACACTGAGGCTGGAGTTTGTGCTGCCATGTACAATCTGCTTATTGGTTGCGAGAGAAAAGGATTCTAGAAGAGTGCATCTTAAACCTGGATGGATGTCATGATGCTTGTTGCTTATTTTTATTTTCTACCACTGGTTCTTATCACCTGGTTCTTTCTTGCCCTTGAGATTTTTTTTATTTTTATTTTTTAAATTCCAGAAGTGAGTTGTGGATTATTCTTCACAAAATGATATATCAATGTCATCCTAGAGTCAGTGGTTAATATTTCCTGCTTGCTGCTCCTTGCTGGGGTGTCAGACTCCTGCCTGTCAGTCACAGGATTGAGGTTAAGGGGATATTATTAGTAATGAGTCAACCATTGATTTTTCCAAAACAAAAAAAAGTATAAAAATATCATTTGATATCTTTCCTAGAGTCAATTTGCATAGAGGAACAAAAAAAAACCCAGCAGAAATCAATATATAAATTGTTTGAATTCTCTCTAGTCAATGACTTTATTTCCAAACATGCCATCAGAATAAATTCTCAGCAAAAAGGTAAACCTCAAGTCTATAGATCAGAGCCATTTCAGAATAGCTGTTCAAACCACTGACTCTTTTGTGGGGTTTTTTGTTTAGTTTTTTTTTGTTGTTGTTATTTTGTTTTTTTTTGCCAGTGTTAGGGCTTGAATTCTGGGCCTGGGCTCTGTCCCTCTTCACTGAGCTCAAGGCTAGCACTCTACCATTTAAGCCACAGCACCACTTCCGGCTTTTTCTGCTTATGTGGTGCTGAGGAATCGAACCCAGGGCTTCATGCATGCAAGGCAAGCGTTCTACCACTGAGCCACCTTCCCAGCCCTGTTCTTTTGTTTTTATGGGAGGCATTTAACAAGTAATTTTACCATTTTTCTTCTATAATGAAAACCAGAAATAAGTTAGGAGTAAATCTTGGTGCATTTTCAATCAAACAATTTCAACTCCAAACTGGTACCAATAAATATAAGAACCACGGCAGAGAGCCAGAAATGGAGTGGAATCCATGAGACATGACAAAAAACCAGACTGCTTTCTCCCAGGGTCCCCCAGCCCCGCTGTGAACTTTACCATCTCAGCAGGGCAGAGTGAACGGGCTGCTGCCATCTGCACATCTGTGTGGTTGTCTATTCAACTGCTACGGAACACATACGAGCAAGAAGACCACACAGCAGATGCAGCCCAAGAAGCACATTACTTTAGTTTGGTTCTCAGGGTTTGTGTGTGTGTGTGTGTGTGTGTTTAAAACAAATTTTTCAACTTCCCCAAACTTCATTGTCCTCATTGGTAAAATGAGAACCATGAGTCCAGCTGCCTTAAGGCTTGTTGTGAGGATTAAGTGAGATAATTTATGTAAAATGCTCATCTAGCACAGCATCTGACGCAAGGTCAGTGTTTGTCTATTAAGTGCTAGCCACTAGAAAAATGCTCACACGCACATAAAACCTCAAATATTTTTCAGGATTCCTGAAAGTATTCATAAGATGTTTTGAAGATTGCTATCCTTTAAAAGACACTGGTTATGCACTTTGGAAGAACACATCAGGAGTTCAGGGTTCAAGGCCAGTCAGACAGTAAAAAAATTTTTCATGAGGCCAGGTGCTGGTGGTTCACACCTGTAAACCTAGCTACTCAGGAGGTTGAGATCTGAGGACCAAGGTTCAAAGCCACCTTGGACAGGAAAGTCTGTGAGATTCTTATCTCCAAGTAATCACCAGAAAACTGGAAGTGGCACTACAGCTCAAAGTGGTTGAGTACCTAGCTTTGAGCAGAAGAGCTCAGGGACAGCGCCCAAGTCCCAAGTTCAAAACCAACGACTGCCCCCCCCCCTCAAAAAAAATAACTCATGAGATTTCCTGGCTGGTGCTTCTATTATGGCTGGGCGTCCCAGCAACCCTGTGACGCACAAGTAGGAGGCTCACAGTCTAGGCTGGCAAGGACATAAAGTGAGACCCTACCTTGAAAAGAACCAAGTCCTAAAATGAGCTGGAGGCAATGGCTGGGGGCAGGTTGGCTCAAGTAGCAGAGTATCTACCAAGCAAGAATGAGGCCTTGAGTTCAATTCTCAGCACACCAAAAATAAAGAATATACTATCAGTAAGAGTTTTACAAAATATTTAAAAAAACTTGATAAATATCTCATGAGTGATTTTCTTTTCTTTTTTTTTTAATTTAATTTTTTTTTTGTGAACATACTGTACAGAGGGGTTACAATTACATGGGCAGGATAATGCATACATTTCTTATCAAGCATTGCAGCCTCCTCCTTTGTTTACCCTTCACATCCCTTCCCTACCTCCCCGCTACCCATGAGGAGTGATTTTCTTTTCAATGTAATTTATTGAGCACTAATTAAATACTGAATTCAATGGTATGGTGTTGATAAGGATGTCAGGTTAATCACATAAAAAAGAAATATGGAAGAGAAAGAGATTGTGTGACATAGATATGCCCTTGGAAGGTAGCACTTCAAATCATTTTCAGCCATCTTCCAAAGATTTTTTTATTTTAACTTCAAAGTGTTTGTAATCACCTTGTAGAACTTAAAAAAATATTTGGGGAAAAAATCAGAGAAGAATATCTTTTTAGGTACCTTTGGTTTAGAATATTTGTAAATTTTCTTTTTTTTTTTCTTTTTTTTGGTCCGATTGTGGGGCCTGAACTCTGGGCCTGGGCGCTGTCCCTCAGCTCTTCAGCTCAAGGCTAGCGCTCTAACACTTGAGCCACAGCGCCACTTCCAGCTTTTTTTTCTTTTTGCTTATGTGGTGCTTGAGGAATCGAACCCAGGGCCTCATGCATGCAAGGCAAGCACTCTACCACTGAGCCACCTTCCCAGCCCTATTTGTAAAATTTCTATACCATCTACTTAGATGAATTGTTAATATTCTCCTCTAATAATTTCAGAATTCTTTCCTTATAAGAAAGTAGAAATGGAAAAGTTTAAATTCCCTATCTAATTGTAGGGTAGTTTACAAGAATCATTTACTTCAGACAAAATAGAAACAATCATAAGACTTTGTTCCAAAATAAATTGTATAATACCGTATTTTTATACATCTGTAAATTTAATACTTTTTCTCACAAGTGTGTAAGGCCTTACTTAATTAAATATAGTTAATTAATGAGAATTTCCTCTTCTATCACATTCTTGTGGTAGTACATCAGTTCTATCTATAGTTCAGTGATTTTACCCATTTCTTTTCCTTCCTTTTCCTCCCCTTCCCTCCCTTTCCTTTTCCTTCCCCTGTCTATTCCCCAGTCTCTGTCCTCCCTCCCTCTCCTCTCTGATTCTCTCTCTTTCTCTCTCTCTCTGATCTCTGTCTCATTCTCATCTGTGATCCAAGCCATAATATAACACACCCAAGAACCTGACTGTCCAGTGTAAAAGAAATATTTGAGTGTCCTAATGTAAGAATATAAATCTTTTAAATTAAAACATGCATGTGAAATGACTTGGAGAGCGCACCAAACAACAAACACCACAATTTATTGCCTTGTATTTTTTTCTTTGTCAGAAGATCACCCATGTGCAACCAACCATCCATCAACAAAGCCACCATAACAGGTAAGAGTGATGTGAAAGCTTACTCTACTTACATCTAGAAAGACACTGTCTCTTCCAATAGGCAGAACATTGAATTCAATTCAATTTTATGATAATTCTAAAATATTAAATAAGTCAAGTTTTTCTTCTGTACATTGTCCTTTTTTTGTTGGTCATGGGGCTTGAACTCTGGGCCTGAGCCACAACACCACTTCTGGTTTTCTGAGTAGTTTATTGGAGATAAGAGTTTCACAGCTTTTCCTGTCTGGGCTGGCTTAGAACTACGATCCTCAGATCTCAGCCTCCTGAGTAGCTAGGATTACAGGTGTGAGCCACCAGCTTTTGACTGTACATTGTCCTTACTACCATTGATCTTACAAGTTTTCCATCTGGACTGTGCCTTGGAAACTGCTTTCCAGTGTACCATATATTTGCTAGTTAGCGTGGTTCTTGAGCTAGGTTAAGCATCATTCTGGGCAACTGTATTTAGAGAGTACATTACTTTCAAACTGTTTGGTAGTTGGTAGCATGTGTTACTTCGGTTTCATGAATGCAAAAGCATAAACAAAAGAGTTAATACATTTTGGGTTAATCAGTATCTCCAGCTATATGAAGGAAAGAAAATTCTTACTCTAGTAGTCCTTCCTGAGATGCAGAGAACTGAGAATAAGTTCTCTTTGTATGAGGAGAAAAGATGTTATTACACAACACAGAAGTTCAGTGGGTTCCAAAGAAAAAGCGCCACACATGTTTAGAAAGAAAAGTAGAAAGAAAGAATGAGGGAAGTAAAGGGCATGAAAATAAAATTATCCTAATTACTGCTAGTTGGTTTCAGACAGGAGACTTGACCTCAACTGAACCAAAACCAGAATGAATGATCTCATTTTGCTGAACCTGAAACCAAATTGAACTCATTTCATCATGTCTTAAAACCCCAGTTGATTCATTAAAGTAATTACCTGGAAAAGAAAACCTATGATTTTTAAAATTATTACCAGAAGAAAATTAACATATTTTCCAAAATAGACAATACTTCATTTGATTCTAGTCTCCTCTTTGGATTCGAACTCATAATATGCTGAGGAGTTTCTTGTTAGGATTTTAGTGAATATATTTTGCATGAAATTTAACTTTGTGATGGTCAGACCACTGGCTGCATTATCAGGGTTGATTCTTGTCTGACAGTTTGCCAAATGGACTCGTATCTTAAAGAGTATTAAATGGTTGGTTTTCTTTTTCATATTTCTCTTTCACGATGCTTCTGGTAGTGACTTTCCGTTGTTATTTCATTATATATTTCACCAGTTTTGTTCTTGATTTTGATCAAGAGATGAACAATAAGAATTCCCACATATTGAAAATCTTTGAGTAACAAATTTCGTCTTTAGAAACTCAAATTCATTATACAGGAGCCAACACTAAGATGGAGAATTGGAACTATGTACTTTCCTCAAGCCTTTTTTAAAAACATATTTATTTTTATTGTAAAGATGCTATACAAAGCCATTACAGTTACACGAGTAAGGTAATGAGTACATTTCTTGTCAAACATTGTTACCTACTCCTTTGCTTTTCTCCCACTTATCCCTTCCCTCCTCCACTTCCCCCTGCACCAAAAGTTGTAGTGAAGTTCAATTTGGACATAGTGTCTTGTGCGACTATTGTTGTTGCGATGGGTCATCCTTTGTCCTTCTTTCAGCGTTTTCTTTGTGTGCACATCCCTGGGGTTTCTAGGTAGAGAACGTGAGAGTTGGTCCCTAGCTCTGTTTCAGGCACTCCAGGCGTCTCCAACCCAACACATTCCTCTGGAAACCAACTTACCTTCCCTTTACCCATTTGTACAATAAGCAAGACTGCTGTCGCAGGTTGAATATTGGAATGCATTACTATTTTGGTCTCTGGTAGCTTTTTATAGTTTGAGGGTCACATAGGAGCTCTCTCTCAGCTGGGGCAGCATTCTCTCAGAACAAGTTCAGGTATCAGTTGAAACTGTTTTGTCCAACAAGAGATGGTTGGGTGATCGGGGATCAAGGTAGCCTTACAACCCTGATAGGACCCAGTCCAGGATTACAGGGTCGCAGCTGTACCCAGAGGGCACAGAATTGGTCTTAGACACTTGTGAGATATACCAAGAGAGCTGGCAGACATTTTTATATAATACTGAAGACTTTTGAGAAGAAATAATGAGCCCCTGGAACTGGGTAATTAAGGTTAATAGGGCCTTATTTGTACCCACTAGCTTCTGACCCTGAGGCCTACAGCAGGGCTGCAGAAACACCTTATCTAAGAAAAGAAAGTAATTAACTGTCATTAACTGCTTAGAGCAGCTGGCTCATCACTGAGCACAACAGGAAATGATCTGACTAGAGAATCCAAGGGTTGTTTCTTGCCCTAGCCTTGCTAACCCAGTTGAAAACAAGATGTGGTGTTGGGGGCAAGGGGGCAGGGAATGAGGACCACAGAAGGGTATGATTGTGCTTTCTGAACCTTTCTGAAAAAGTGGGCTCATAAATCTGAAATCACGATGGTGATGATGATGGTGGTGGTGGTGGTTGACACTTGATGCATGATACTTTGAGATTTAAGATTATCCAGAAGAGATGACGTCTGTGGGTTCATTTCCTCCCTGCTTTCCTCTCTGCTGTTAGAACCTGTCTATACCTCTGCTCATTCTGTGAAGGATGAAAAAGTGTTAAAAGTTAGGTATGTAGCATTTCAGATAAAAATGTCCATCTTAGAAATTTTGTTTAAGATCTGCAGGAAGCACGTAGCTAAATAGTTAATGTTATAGGTAGCTAAAGAGAATGCTGTGTGCAGCACCTAGGTGGCCCTAAAGGGTAACTTTAGGGGATATCACTGATGCAGAGCTAATAGAACTGTGCAGTGTCATGAGACCTATCAAGCTGCACTGCGTAGCCTTACACCAGTGACATGCCTTTGTCAGCCTCACTTTCCGCAGCTATGGAATAGATGGGAATTCTACTCAGACAGTTATCTTGAATGATGCCTTGCATGCTCTGAGCATTGTACCTCAGAGAGTTGCCTTCAGTAAGCTGTTCAAAATTTTGTTTCAGTGTTTTTATTTGGTTTTGTTTTTAGGACCTGTTCAATGCCTAGGAAGGGGATACTAGTTTAGACTGCTCTACAAAGTACCATAGGAAAAGATCTTTATACATTTATAGACCACATAAGTTTATTTTTCATAGTACTAAGGGTTGAGATCTGATTTCAAAGAACCAACACGGTTGGCTTCTGGAGAGGGCCTGTTACCAGGTTACATACTGCTGTTTCTTCTTGACATATCTCCACAAGGTAGAAAGAGTACAGCGATGAGTTTCCTTCACACGGCACACATCCCATCCCTGGGGTTCCATCCTCATCATCTAATTATCTCCCGAAGGCCCAAGTGTCATATGCTTTCACAGGGAGTAGTTAAGATTCAAATTTGAATTTAGGAGCACACACAAATTCAGCTATGGGAAGAATAAACCAAACAGAAAGAAAAATGGGAAGGGTAAGAAAAAAGTTTGCGGGATAAGCAGAGCAAATGTCTGGAGCCCCAAATTATCCAGATGGATACATTTTCCCTGTGTGTCTGTCAACACTGGGCCTTCTGTGGTCTCAGCTCTGCGTCTTCTCGGTCCTTCCGGTCTCAGATGCTGGTTCTCTTGTGATTTAGATGAGGGGCTGTACTTTAGGACCTTTTTTTTCCCCAACTCCACAAAATTTGGAGACAGGTTTTGTTTTTTTAAGAAAAAATAATTAACTCTCTGTAACTCTTCCATAAACCAACTCTTTCACCTTTCAAAAAGAAGAAATCCGACTATCTACTTCTATTATCCCATACTTTCTAAGGATTTCTCATATAGAACTTATAATTTCTGTCTTGTACATCAAGGTTATTCTATGTCAGCCTTAAAGCTATTTAACTTTAATTTCTTCTCCTTATATTTAAAATGCCAGGAAACAAATTTTTTATTGTTATAGTTATGTGTTAGTCACATACCATTTTAAAAGTTTCCATTTATAAGAGGTAAATTGGTATATCTAAAGTAACCACAATTTTTTTTTTTAATGATAGACTTTTGTTGTTGTTGTTGTTGTTGGTCATGGGTCCTGAACTCTGGACCTGGGTGCTGTCCCTCAGCTCTTCAGCTCGAGGCTAGCACTCTACCTCTTGAGCAACAGCACCACTTCTGGCTTTTTCTGCTTATGTGGTGCTGAGGAATTGAACCCAGGGTTTTATGCATGCAAGGCAATCACTATACCACTGAGCCACCTTCCCAGCCTTACTGATAGACTTCTAAAAGGCCATTTACAAAAGAGCTTTACAACGAAGACTGTTTTGTTCTTTAGTATAATATAAAGCGTCTGTACTCTGCATAGACATCCCATGCTTTCTTTCACTTTATTGCTTAATTTGATGAGGGAGCTCTCGAATCCCAGGGCTAACATATAAAGAATAGTTCTGTAGCTGGTGAGTCACTCATCATATATTTCTTTTGACAGCTCTGTCCCATGGCTAATATTTTGTATAGCTAGAGATAATTTTGACTTTATTTCCACACAGTAAAGACGAGAGACAATTTTTAGTTATGCCTTTGTTACTTACACACACTCACCTGATAGATCCTTAGCCAGAGGCATATGCCAGAACTTCAGAGAGGCGTATGCCAGAACTTCAGAGAATATTGAACCATGAGAGGGCAGCAGAGAATCATAAATGCCTACATCTTCCCTGTGTAGTGAACAATGACGTTGATTTTTGGAGTAGAGGCATAACATGTTGGGTGCAATCAGTTCTTTTGAGTATTTGTTTCCTTTTTTTTTCAATAATACTGAGAAAAAATATTTTTCAGCCACTTTTTCCTTTAAATTTTTATTCTTAAATGATTCTGTCTTTGTTTCTTTATATATGGTGTATTCAAGTTATCGTTGGGTGGGTGGGGGAGGGTACAGCACTCCAGCCACTTTGTAAGACCTTCTCATGTGTTTGTAAGATCATTTTCAGCATGTTTCTG